TCCTTTGGGGCCAAGTCTGGCTTAGCTGAGACCATGATAACTCACAAAGTTTTTAAGCATCTTTGGTTGCAGTTTTATCTTATAGTCCCCCACAAAATCTGTATCAAAATTTTTAATTATGCACTTCAGAACAGTTGGTTTGGCATCAGCATTTCCCATAACTATTAGATATTCCCTTGTCCCCTGATGCAATGCAAGACAAAGGGTGGGGTGCCAGGGTTCTGTTTCAGAAAACAGCCTTGTTTATTTGCCTGGAGGGCTCTTTAAGCATAAGCCCTCCTCCCTTCCTTTTGATGTACAAGGGAAGCTACCCAGCTCTTCCCATTCACTCTCCTAACCAATTCTCTTTCACACACAGTCACCTAAGAAGTTAATACATTCCCTCCCTGGGTCCCCTTCCAAAGACAAACTAGGGAGCAACCCAGGGGATCTCACCATTCAGACAGATGATTTTATTCATTTTCCTTCTTTCTGTTCAACTATTGACGAGCCGGCCTCTGCGTCCTAGAAAGGGAACCCAGGAAATCCTGGGGGCACGCACCTTTTCCCTTCCAAGGAGGCAGACAGTCGCTTGCTCAGGTGGGACTCGGATTGACACAGGGAGCGAAGCTTTCCATGAGAGAATTTAATCCCGTAATCATCCTTCTGCTCAGGGATAAAAAACAATTTTAAAATTAGTTAGAAAGCAATCCATTGGGGTGGTCTTGGAGCTGGATGCTCCCATCTTGTCCCTAGGAACAAATTTAGTTTAACACTCAACAGATGAGACACTGACAAGACAGACAGGCGCCACACAAAAAGAAAAGCTTTGATTCTACTACCCGGAGTCCTCGTCAGGGCCGGGGTCAGGGGAGATTTCCCGGCTCGTCAGCCACCTCGATCCTGACAAACAAGACAGTTGCAACCGCCAGCACAAAGCTTACCTCCGGAGGCTTTCAAAGGTCTGTGTCTGAGAATCTCCTGCTGGATCCCGCAAAAGAGAATCTCGGCCGGATTTACAGTTCCCGCCTGGGTATCTCGCTGGGGCCTCCAATATGTAAGACCTAAAGTCTCACTTCCACTCCACGGAGCGTGAACAGCCAAAAGGCCTCCACGATGCTGGGCCCTAACACCCAGCGAGGCTCCGGGAACACGACAGAGAACCGAGAAACCCAGGAAGGAACACACCAGCCTAGATGGTAAATAGACCTTTATTAGTCTGGCCAGATGGCACTCCCAGAGCCAGGTGGCTCAGAGAGGCAACTGCTCAGGGGCTGAGGTACTTTTTATAAGGTTTTTCTAAACAAAGAGTCAGGGAATTCACAGAACAAGACTGCAAACACATTGCTTATCTTATGCAGGAAATGTTCTAGGGTCACCTTTTGTCAAACCATTTGCCCCTGGGTGGGCTGTTAACCAAGGTAGCAATTAGCATATGAAGAAGCACAGTCTGGCCTATTAGCATGGAGTCACTGTAGCCTATTCAAGTCTTACAATACATTTGAACATATTATAGTTTCACAAATTGTCTTACATGATTGTGTCTATACAATTGTTTAAAAAGTATTTATCCAATTAGATTAAAATGACAACAAAGATACTAATAATTTGTTAATTCCTATAACCTGGTTTTATAAGTTAAAATTTTGTCAAAATAATTAGATATAAACTCAAATCTAAATAAACTCCTGTTAATAATAAAAAAGACAACTACTCAAAAAAATTTATTCTGGTCTTTATTCACTAATGCCTTCTAAAAAGATATACCCCCAATAAACATGACCAAATATGTTGTTATAAAATGTTTACATTGGTTATCATCAAAGGATTAAATTCTAAATATGCTATTGTGATATGTTTATAATACTCAATTTTCAAAATAAAATTTCTATAAAAGTTATTAAGAGATTCTATAAAAATACTTAAAAATTACAAAATTTCATACATAAAATTATAATTATTAGTTTTTAGATATACTAAATAAAAAGAAGATATTAAAAAAATAATACTGCTTCAAGACAAAATATAAAGTTTATACTACTTAGAGATAAAAAGACAAAAAATTTTTTGAGATGTTTTTACAGGATCTAGATTCTCTACATATATAAATCTTAAAAACACCCCTTTCTGACCTATATGAAAAAATCCATATAAATCACTTATGGTTATTCCCACAACTATCAAAATAACTAAAACTCAACTACCACTACTCTAAAATAAAACAAAATTCCAGGGATTCCGACTCCAAGAGACCACAAAACAACACACTCAAAACCCTACTCTCACCACACCAAAAACTGGTGAGTCTACACACGACACCAAAAACTGGTGAGTCTACACACGACTAAAAAATAAAAACTACAATCTAGATAAACTCTTATATTATATCAAACTATTATAAATTATTATACTTCTAAATTAAGAGTTTATGAACCTACAGATAATAAAAATACAAAAACTTTTTATACTCCAAAAACCCTAATCCCCAATTTAACTATATAAAAAATACCTTTACAAATTACTGTGACCCCTTAACTAAAAATTTAAATAAAACAATGAATCAAGGATTTGATTCTACCTAAGATCAGTGGAGATTGTAAGACTTGAATAAGCTAAAGTGACTCCATGCTAATAGGCCACACTGTGTTTCTTCGTATGCTAATTCTACCTTGGTTAACAGCCCACCCAGGGGCAAATGATTGACAAAAGTTGACCTTACAACATTTCCTGCGTAAGATAAGCAATGTGTTTGCAGTCTTGTTCTGTGAATTCCCTGACTCTTTGTTTAGAAAAACCTTATAAAAAGTACCTCAGTCCCTGAGCAGTTGCCTCTCTGAGCCACCTGGCTCTGGGAGTGCCATCTGGCCAGACTAATAAAGGTCTATTTACCATTTAGCCTGGTGTGTTTCTTCCTGGGTTTCTCGTTTCTCTGTTGAGCTCCCAGAGCCTCGCTGGATATTAGGGCCCAACATCATAGAGGCCTTTTTGGCTGTTCACGCTTCATAGAATAAAAGTGAGACTTTAGGTCTTACAGAACCACTGAACTAAATCCCTGGCCCTATTTTTTTTTTAATGTGTGTGTATATATATATATATAGATCTATCTATCTATATATCTATGTCTGTATATATTTCTTTCTTTCTTTCTTTCTTTCTTTCTTTCTTTCTTTCTTTCTTTCTTTCTTCCTTCCTTCCTTCCTTCCTTCCTTCCTTCTTTCTCTCTCTCTCTCTCTATTTCTTTCTTTCTTTCTTTCTTTCTTTCTTTCTTTCTTTCTTTCTTTCTTTCTTTCTTTCTTTCCTGTTCTCTTTATGCTATCCACTTCTTTGCCAAGAAGGGTCAGGCATCATTATTTTCTGTAGAACCTTGAAATGTATTAAACCTCGACATTGTGTTGGATTGGGACTGACCAGAAAGCTATACTTAAAAGTCAAATCAAGTAGGTATTATGGTCCTGTGTGCCCAAGAATTTCTGACAGAGGATATAAACTCATACATGGGAAAGCTGAGTTAGAAAAGTCTTTTAGTGTTATATTAGGACAAGTGCATTCTGTTTTCTAGATTTTCCTAAACTTTCCTTTAGGGGTGGGGGATAGAGTGAGTCATATAAAAGAAAATGAACCATGGAGTATCTGACCTCAGTTTAATCCTAGTTTTGCCATTTCTGCTGGCAAGTCCTTGAAAAGGTTCCCTAACCCTTCTGAATCCCAGTACTCCTGTCCTAAAACAGGGACATTAATAGCTATCTTAGGGCATCTTGAGAAGAATAACTGAAATGATTGAACAGATGAATGGACTTTGTATCTTATAGATAGGAGTTTCCTCTCAGTGGTCTTATACATAGTCCCAGTATTAGTAGGGGAGAGATCAAGGCTTTGTAGGTCTCTTGCTGAACTCTACTTGGACAAAAACTGCAGTCCTTTGCCTCAAGTAAGCTGACCCCAGGAAGAGAGAAGAGAAAAATTACTGTTTAAAATCACCTAATCATAAAGAGGCAGGATTTTAAAAATTTCTACACATTTAATTGGATAGCGTTAACAAAATGAAGAAAAAAAGAAAGACAAACTGTTACTGTCATTTTTTTTTGCAGTGAAGAATCAGTAACAGATTAACAGGAAAACAATCTAAGGCCATCCCAAAGTAGCTAGGCTACAGGTTAAGATTCAAATGCCAAAATTATTATCCCACTTAATCTACAAATGCAAAGTTTATCCTATCTAGTATAAGAATTTTCACATGAAATATATAGTAATTTGTTTTTCAGAAAGGGATACTGGCAACTTTTAGAACAATTTTCCACTATGCAATGACTAGAAAATCTCAACTATAAGCAGCTATGTTATAGCTCAGGAAGTACCAGTAAACTTCTGAGCTAGTGTACATTTCAGTTTAATACAGAACTATATTCTGGGCTTCAGAAAGGCAGCAATAATTACATTTTGACTTTTATTCTAGATTCTTAACATAGTTACTGTGACAAGCATATTAAGTGCAGGTAGTTAAAATTTAAACACAATCATCTCTTGCGAATTGCATCATCTCTTGCAAATTGCATACTGTATAATGTTTATATGGAATTAAACCAGTATAACTTATGTCATGCTAAATATACTATGGTGAAGTGTTAAAAATGCAAAGGTACCATGGAACTAAATATGAACAGCACTATACATTACCTAAGAGAAATATGACTGGGTCTCACACAAAGCTAAGCCTGCATCCATCATCCTAATCACAGTGGTTTATAAAAGCATCAGGTTTCCAGTAGAGAAACTATCCTAGGAAAGTCAGTACATCTTCTGAAAGTTTCACATGTGTAAAACCAGGATAAGGCTACAACTATCTTGAAATCTGAAGAAGGTGTCAGATGAAACCGTTAAGATTCCCAGCCATGATATAAGATAGAAAGGTCCTAGTGCAGTGTATGTTCCCTGGCTCTAGGAAAGCTCTAGGTGCATAATGCAGAAGTTGCCAAAGAAGGAAACTGGAGAAGTTCAGCTGTGTTTCTGTTGTACCAAGATTTTTAAACCTTGGGAATGGTGTGATCCGTGAGGCTTTTCATAATGCTTAGTGCTATCCATAAAATATGTTCAAAGATAAAAGCAGGCATGACTGTTATGGTAACTACAGTCCCAGATATTGAAAGTATGTCTGCTATTTGAGAATCCTTCAGTCCAATGACATTCTGTCCCTTGATTTCTGAGGTGTTATGTTCAGTGAGAAGACCCTTTCTGGCAGCAGAACTATCTTTTACTATGGATGTTATTTTTCCATTTTTAAGGATAATACTAACATGTCCAGTACTATCCTTGTGCATGGTAACTGTCCGCTCAAAGGGTCTGTCATGAACAGTCATGGTAATCTTCTCTGCAAAATCTTGTTTGAGCACCTTGTGTGCATTATCAAAACTCCAGCCTGCACCGTTCTAACCATTGATCTGGAGGACTAAAGCCCCAAATCTCAGACCAACCAATGAAGTTGGAGAATTGGCCTGAACTAGCTGAACAAATATACCATTATCTACTGTTTTAAGCCTGAGCCCAACTTTTCCATCTTGATTCTTTCACAAAATGGGTTCACGAATCCCTTATTTTATTTCTGCTCTTCAAATTCCAATATCATTGCCTGTTACCAGGGCCACCATGTAGTTTATACTGGAAGGTCTTGCTCCCAATTGCCCCAGAATTGGTGTTCCAGGGACCATGGCATGTACTTCCCCATTTAAATTCAGGCCCATGTATTGAGAAAGCTCCAGATATGGTTTGAGATAGAGATTTCCATCTTGTGAGATGGGGGCAGAGGGTTCTGACAAAATTGCTGTGTTGGCAGGGTTTGAAGAAAAAGCAGTTTTAGCTTTGTCTACTTTCATATCTTTAAGTGATGGATAGAGAGACATTTCTGCAAGAGACATTTCCTATACAGGATTCCACTTGATGCTGGTGCTGCCAAAGAGGCAGGATTTTTAATGGGAATGCAATGTCTGGTGAGTAATGAAGTATATTATGTGGTGGTCATATTGTATTGTTTTGCTGCAGAATATGTTTTTTTGTTTCTTTTGTTTTTTTGCCAGATATTGTGGTGCACACCTATAATATCAGCAGTTAGAGGCTGAGGCAGAAGGATGGGTGTGAGTTGAAGACCAACCTGTGCTACGCAGTGAGTTTTAGGGCAATCTGAATTACATAGCAAAACCCTGTCTCAAAATGAAAAACAGAGCAAAACAAAAACTTCCATTGTTATACTTTCTGAGTTTGTCCTTTCTAGCAGGAACACTGAGATGACCTCTTTTGTTTGTTTGTTTTTGAGACAGGGTCTCACTATATAGTTGAGACTGATCTGGAACTCATTATGTAGCCCAGGTTGGTCTCGAACTCGCAGTGATCCTTCTGCCTCAGCCTCCTGAGTGCTGGGATTACAGGCATGTGCCACCATGCCCAGCTGAGATGGCCTCTTTTTGAGCATATGCTGGAACACAACCAACTCTGCCTGACTCAGCTTTTTGTTTCCTTGGAAATAGCATAGTACCTCTTTCTGTTCTGCTAGCTGCTTAATAACAATGTAGGTGAAAGAACAACAACAAAAATAGACCCCCCAAAGGACCCATCAAAAATGGGCAAATGAAATAAATAGACACTTCACAGAAGTAAAGATAGCCAATAAATACAAAAAGAGAGGCTCAACATCACTGGCCATTAGAGAAACACAAGTTTAAACAATCCTCAGATACTATCATATCCCCAAAAGAATGGCCATCATCAAGAAATCAAATACAGTAATAAATGTTGGAAAGCTGTATGTGTGGGAGTGCTAATCTATACTTTTAGTGGGAATGTGAACTAGTAAAATCACTATGGAAATCAGTATGGAGATTCCTGAAAAATCTAAAACTAGAAATGCTATCTAATTCAGACTGTCTTGTAAATAGTTATTCCATAATAATCAGTTGTCCACTTGTTCAAAAAGCTTTCATTATCCTGTAATTTTGAGGACATTTATTTGCACTTTTCAGGTGAGGAGAAAACACAAATACGTCAGCAAAGCAGAGTTTAGGGCAGAGTCAAGAACAAAATTCTGATTATAATCATCTGCCATAGCTTGGGTGTGGAGTGTCTCCCAGAGGTCCATGAGTTAGATAATTGGTCCCCAGCTTGGTGCTATCAGGAGGTGGTGGAATACTGAAGAGGTGGGGCCTGGTGGAAGGTCTCCAGCTTTTGAGGGTGTGCCCTTAAGAAAACTGCAACCATAGCCCCCTCCTGTGTTTTTTGTTGCATCCCAGTCATGAGGTAAGTGATTTCCATCATCACAGCCCTAGCCATGATATGGTGTCAGAGGCCCAGAGGAACAGGATCAGCTGATCAGGGACTGAAACCTGTGAAATTGTGAGCCAAGAAATCTGTTTCTCTTTTTAAATTATCTCAAACTAATTAATATACCACCTCATAATAAGAGCCTCCACTGTTAAGAAAATTACGTAAATAAATCTAATTTATTAATGGACTTTTCTCAACAGCAAGAGTCTTTCTAATGAGCAACTGATGACCCTATTAAAACTGCAACAGACATTTAATAATAAGTTACCAAAAAGCCTGTTCTGTCTAGTTATTCTTTAACAAAACAGCAATGCTGAGGATTAAATCCAGGACAGCTCATAATTTTAAACCATATATATTTTATTCAAAGTGTCTACATGAAAGAACCCAAAACAGAGGAAGTCACTTGGAAAATACACACAGTGTTGATAGTTGAAGAAATCTGTTAAAAATGTTAAAAAAGTATAGAGTTAAAATTCTCAGAGAAATAAAAGGCAATATTGAAGTATAGGAAGAAGTGAAATAATAAACATTTAAAATTTAGGACTTTCCCCCACCAGTAAAAGCTCTTGAGAATTAAAAAATATAATAGTAGAAATGTACAAATTTTATGGATTAAAGATCTAAATATTAAAACAGAAACATTAAACTTGCTGGAAGGTAAGTTAGGCAGAACTCTGGAAGACATTGGCATAGGAAAAGACTTTATGAACAAATCCTCAGTAGTATGGGAACTAGCAGATAGAATCAACAACTGGGATCTCATCTTACTAAAAAGCTTCTGTACTTCAAAAGAAACCATCAGTAGAACTAAGAGACAATCTACAATGTGGGAAAAATTTTTTACCAGCTGTTTCTCAGACAAAGGACTATTATCAAGGATATATAAAGAACTCCAAACAATCAGCCCCCCCAAATATAAAGACCTGATTCAAAAATGGGCATCCAAAATGAACAGACATTTCTCAGACAAAGAAGTAAAAGCAGCAAGTAAATATATGAAAAAATGTTCCACATCACTGATCATTTGAGAGATGCAGATGCAAACAACACTAGAATCCACCTCACCCCACAAAGAATGGCTGCTATCAAGAAATCACACAATAACAAGTGTTGGCAGGGTTGTGGGGAGAAAGGAAACCTTCTCCATTGTTGGTGGGAGTGCAGACTGGTGCAACCACTATGGAAATCAATATGGAGATACCTCAAAGAGCTTGGACTGGAGGTTCCATTTGACCCAGCCATCCCTCTGCTGGGTATCTTTCCAAGAGAACTAAAAGAATCATATCACAGAGAAGTATGTGCACCCATGTTTATAGCAGCACAGTTTGTAATAGCTAAATCTTGGAAACAGCCCGTTTGCCCAACCGTTGGAAACTGGATAAAGAAGATGTGGTTTTTCTATAAAATGGAATATTACTCAGCCATAAAGAATGAGAAAATAGATTCATTCATAGGAAAATGGATACATATTGAAGATATACTCCTAAGTGAAATAAATAAGTCACACATGTGTAAATACTGAATAGTTTCCCTGGTGTGAATAATCTGCAACAAAACATAAGATTCTAATAAGATCACTGTCATTTATAAATGAGAAGAAAGGAGCTAAAGGTGTAGGGAAGGCAGGACGGGTAGGGGAAGGGTAATAAGGGAAAAGAAAAAAATGTGAGATAATGAAAAGATACAAATAAAGTGTTTGTAGATGGGGAGGGGGGGAGGGGGTGAAGGGAGGGCAGGGGTAAGGGGAAAAAATGAGAATCAAGACTTGTCATGTAGATGTACAAGATCCCAACAATGAATGTAACTGTACTGTATCCCTAAAATGTACCAATAAACTCAATTAAAGCTGAAAAAAAAAGAAATGTACAAATTTTAAAGAAAGATTAGAAGTTTTGTTAGAACTAATGATGAGATATCTTAATTAATTAGTTCATTAAATTAATTATTTTTTTGAGACAGGGTCTCACTATGTAGTTGAGTCTGACCTGGAACTCACTATGAGGCCAGGTTGGTCTCAAACTCAACGGCAATCCTCCTGCCTCAGGCTCCTGAGTGCTGGGATTATAAGAGATATCATTAAAAATAGAGATAAAATTACAGGATGGATCCAGGAGATCCAACATCCAAGTATATAAGTTTCAGAAAAAGAGAAAATTAGGTAATAAAGGAATCCATCCAGAACTGAAAAATGTAATTTTGAGATAAAAATGCCTGTAAATGTATAGGAAAATGACAATAAAAGACCCAATACCAACAGCATATTGAAATACTAGATTATGAGGAATAAAGAAAAATAAATTACCATAAAATTCCAGAGATTAAGAGTATAATGAATCTAGAATTAGAATGGCAGCAACTTAACATCACTGTAAAAAAGTACAGTGGGCCCTTGAATTATTTCTGGCCTTTCATATGAATAACTTGGGTTATTTCAATTTCCACTTAACAACCAAAGTCTTGAGTTATGACCTGAATATCAGATACTTGTGCAGTTGTAAACAAGGACTCATGATGCCAGAAAAGCATATGTGTCAATCTGAGCCCAGATGCTCATTTGTGGATGTGATTGCAGTCAGTGCTTTATATAATGACTGTGATTACTTGCCATCAGAATGGCTCCAAAAAAGCTAGAAAAGAAGCTAAGGAAGAAAGGGAAGGTAAAGAAAGCAGTCATAATTGAAAAGAAGAAGGAAATTGTTGAGAAATATGAGAGTGGTATTCATGTGAACAATCTCACCAATATGTACAGCAGGTCAAAATCCACCATCTTGAAAATCTCACAGAGGAAAAGATTTGTATAAGGAAGCAAGTGTTCCTAAAGGTGTTACTCTAATTAGTAAGTCATGATCAACAGTGTTAGACAAGGTAGAAAAACTATAACTAGTGTGGATAAATGAAAGGCAGATGATAGATGATAGTAGGTTATAGCCTATCTGAGTCTATAATTTGTGAAAGAACTAGGACTATAAATACAGATCTCATAAGGGATGATCCATCAATGAGTGATAATGGTGAAACATTTCATGCCAATAAGGGGTGGTTTCACAATTTTAAAGTGAGAACTGGGGTTTATAGTATAACTAGCCATGGTGAAGCAGCCAGTGCTAATAAAAGGGCTGCTGAAAATTACACACACCACTTTGAAATGATGACACAAATAAATGGCTTTTTCTCATCAAGTTTTCAACTTTGATGAAACTGTCCTTTTCTGGAAGAAAATATTCAAGAGAACATAGAAAAGAAAAGAAGAAAATCCCAGGACACAAGAACCTGAAGGATAGGCTAATCTTATTGCTATGTACCTATGTGAGTGGTGACCTCAAGATAAAGCTACTCTTTGTTTATCACTCTGAGACTGCTAGAGACTAAGGGCCATGTGGAGATCTAACAGTAAAAGCTGGAGAATAATAGTACTTTTTTCTTGGATGGATCAGGGAGCTTTATGTCTTGTTAAGAAAGATCTAGAGGACAAAGATTTACCACTCAAGGATCTCATCATGGACAGTGCTCCTTCTCACTCATGAGATTTGGAAGAAGAATTAGCTAAATAATTCCCATGGCTCTCAGTTGAATTCCTCCCACCTAATGCAACTCCTCTAGCGCAGCCTGTGGACCAGCAGGTTAAAACTAACTTTAAGAAGCAATAAACTAAGAAACTTCCTGAAGTGCTTCCAGATGGTCTTAGATACAGATTTAACCCTTAAAGTGTTCTGGAAGGAACAGTACCTCTTTCTCTGTGTATGGTTGAGAAA